TCTGATGACTCATTATTTGTCCTTGAGACTAAAAAATGTCACCAGAACATGTCTAACAGTGAATCTCTTTCCACTAATTTTGCTTAATATATGATGAGCCATGCAAACTGAAATCTGTTTTCAACTGAGGAAAGTTTTTTTTATCCTGGTAAGTGCTTATTTATTGTTTGGACACTATTTGTGTGGGTTTTATTTTGGGAAGAAATAGTTATACATGGGTTGGATGTTTCTTCTCTGTTCCTTTATCTGTTAATATAGTTGCCTTAACTAATCTGGGGAAGAATAATAAAAAAGTGTTGTCTTATTTGTGATGATTTTAGTTTTTAGGTAACTTTTTTGCTCCATTCTTGAAGTATTTCTCCTCTTTTTCTATTAATTGCATTTTTTTTTTAACATTGTAAAGTGTATGAAGTTTATCTATGTATTTATTTATTTTTTGAGATGGGGTCTTGCTCTGTTGCCCAGGCTGAAGTACAGTGGCACAATCATGACTCACTGTAGCCTCCACCTTCTAGGCTCAAGTGGTCTTCCTGCCTCAGCCTCCATAGTAGCTGAAACTTACAGGTATGTGCTACCACACCTGACTAGGTTTTTTCTTTTTGCATTTTTTTTTTTTTGTAAAGTCAGTGTCTCCCTATGTTGTCCAGGCTGGTCTTGAACTCCTGGGCTCAAGCCATCCTCTTGCTTTGGCCTCTCAAAGTGCTGAGATTACAGATGTGAGCCACCATGCCAGGCCTGAAGTTTACTGTTTATTGTCTACCCTGTGAATTTGTTTTTCACCTTCTATTTTGAGAAATTTATACATACAGAAAACTAAAGAGAAAAATATGATGAATGCCTCTACCCCATCACATAGATTAACAGGTGTTAATATTTTGCCATCTTTGCTTTATCTCATTTTCTTTTCCCTGAAGCGTTTTAACAAACTGCATAACATTTCATCCCCAAATACTTCAGTATGCACATCTGAAAAATAAGGGCCTTTTTCTACTCAACCATGCTACCATTATCACACCTAACAATGATCCTTTATGTCCTCTAATGCCCAGCCTATATTCACATTTCCCTAATCTTGCCCAAATGTCTTTTATAGCCAGCCTGTATGAACCTGGATTTAACCAAAGATCATACATTGCATTCGGTTGTTATGGTTCTTAAACTGCCTTTTTTCTTTTAGATTGAAATTTATGTAACATAAAGTTAGCCATTTTAAGATGAATAATTCAGTGGCATTTAGTACAGTCACAGTGTTGTACGATTATCATCTCTATCTAGTTCCAAAACATTTTCATCACCCCAAAGTAAAATCTCATACCCTTTAAGCAGTTACTCCCCATTTCCCCCTCCACCCAGCTCCTGGCAATCACTAATCTGTCCTCTGCCTCTCTGGATTTACTTATTGAATGGAATTGTGCAATATGTGACCTTTCATGTTTTGCTTCTTTTACTTAGCACAATGTTTTTGATAGTCATCCATATTGTAACATTTTATCAGTAGTTTATTCCTTTTCATGGCTGAATAATATTCCATTGTATAAATATACCATAATTTGTCTATTCGTTTATCCATTGTGAACATTTGGGTTTTTATCCTTTTTGGTTATTGGGACTAGTGCTGCAATGAATATTTACCCTAGTCAGCTCAGACTGCTATAACAAAATACTAGAAACTGGGTGGCTTAAATAATAGATATTTATTTTTCAGTTATGGAGGCTGGGAAGTCCAAGATCAAGGCATTGGCAAATTTGGGTCTTTGTAGGGGCCCTCTTCCTGGCTTGCAGATGGCTACCTTCTCCCTGTGTCTTCGCATGGCAGAGAGAGAGAGTGAGCACTCTGGCCTCTCTTTCTCTTCTTTATAAGCACACCAGTCCCATCATGGGGTCCCTACCCTTGTTCCTCTTCTAAGCCTAATAACCTCCCCAAAGCCCTGCTTCCAAATACTATCATATTGGGAGTTAGGGCTTCCACAAATGAATTTGGGAGGATATAAACATTCAGTCCATAAAATACTGATTGTATTCGCATCCCGTTTTCAATTATTTGGGGTATATATCCTGAGTAGAATTGCTGGGTTATTCGTCAATATTTTAATCTTGAAGAATTTTTAATCTGTTTACCTGTTCTTTTTTCTTTCATTTTCCTTCTTGTTCTTTTCCTGCAATGACATCAATTTAATAACATGACTAGTTAAGTCATCTCATCTTTTTGCTTGGCCTGATAGGTTCATCTTGTTCTTCTTCAGTATGTTCCTCTGTGCCTTGCATGTCTTATAATTTGGGTACCATGTTTTTATTTTCTCTGAGGTCTCTCTCCCCCTCAGTTTACTGTTTGACATATTTGCCTCTTCTTTTTGGTATATGGACTATCTGGGGGGAATGTGCCCTCATTTTCTATTGGGAACCCAAAGGAGTTTCTGTACTTTGCTGCAATAAATCTATGTGCAAGAATGTTTTTGCTCTTTTTTTTTTTTGAGAAACTCCTTTTGTCCTCTTATGCTTCAAATTCTGGTCATAGGCATCAGACTGTTGTGTTTCTCCTTCCTTATCAATGAATAGACCTAGTGTTGGCACACAGATGTGATACACTGGCCATTTGCAGTATATCACTGACCCTGGCACAATGCCTTCTCATATCTGAGGCTAGGGGCTGAGCTGGTGGCACCAGCAATGGGACATTCCTGGTCTGTGGCCCATGTCAGGAAACTCTTTTTGGCTGATGTATTTTTCTCTTCTATCACTACCCATTTCTTTCCTTTTTTTTTGAGACAGAGTCTTACTCTGTCACTCAGGTTGGAGTGCAGTGGTGCAATCTCACTGCAACCTCTGCCCCCTGGGTTTAAGTGATTCTTCTGCTTCAGTCTCCCAAGTCGTTGGGATTACAGGCGTGCACCACCACGCCTGGCTAATTTTTATATTTTTAGTAGAGATGGGGTTCCACCATGTTTGTGAGGCTGGTCTCGAACTCCTGACCTCAGGTTATCTGTACTCCTTGGCCTCCCAAAGTGCTGGGATAACAGGCATGAGCCACCACGCCTGGCCTCTTCTCTGACTATCCATTTCTGAAAAGTGAAAAAAAAATAGATATGGGTCTTGTGGAACCTGAGGCTGGCTCTGAACAGTCTTTCGTGGATGCATACACCTGCCTGCAGGCGCTGCTCCCAGGTGAGGAGGTTGCATGCCTCAGAATGCAGTTAGCCTGGGTGTCTGTGCATCAGGCTGAGTTCCTGCCAAGGAGCTGAAGATTTGTGATGAATGTGGAACTAAAGTTATTGAGGAGACCAAGAGACTTGACCTGGGAGTGCTTATGTGGTTTGGATGGGATTCCTTGAGGCTTTTGTGGAGGAGCAGTCCATGGGGTCAGGTTGTCCGTGGGTTACTGTTAGCCCATATGATGTTCTTTGCATGAGTTAGAAAAAGACGCCTCTTCCTCAACACACTTTACTTCCGTGCGTGGGAAAACTCTCCTATCCTGAGTTGGTGATTTGACAGCCGCCTGCTGTAAAAGTGTATGATAAGCACACAAGTCTGCTGCAGGAGGGGTGTGCTCCCTTCCATGGGGCACGGTTGTCACCCCCTGCTTAGCTACCTCTGGAGCTACTTTGGGTTTTGTGGCTGATGTTCACTAGCCACTGACTATGCATCTGAATTCCTTCCTATCATAGAAGATCCTTCTGGTTTGGGCATATGGTCAACTCTTTATTTTTAAGAGCTGTTGCTACCCCTTCTCTCCACTTTTATTAGTTTTCATGGGGACTTAAGTGAGCATCCAGGCACTGTCATTGATCTGCCTCTCTGATCCAGAAGACCATGTTGACTTTTGGACAAAGATCCTGGATAGTTCTAAAGCTATGATGCTGTGCCTAGGGTGGAATGGGGGTCCTAAGAGTCCAGCATTGTTTGTCCTAGCAGCTTGTGGCAGCTCAGCTTGAGTAGCAGAATGGGTACCTTGTAATAGATAGCTGTCTGCTTTTCAGCTTATGGAAGGTTTCATTTCTTCTGACTGCATTCTTGTAGGCAGGTGTTACATCTTTTGTGACTCCAGGATCATGAGGCTGGTTCTTGGGTTTGACTCTGGGAATCCTGCTCGTTGGTCTGCTTTTCCTAATTATGTCAATGAATACCTACCTACCTGTGAAGAAAACTCAAGCTGCACAGTAGAGCTAAAGGAAGAAGGTAAAAACCACCTCAAATTTCCATGATCCAGGAGTAACTGCTGTGAACTTCCACTTCCCCATCCTGCTCCCATTTCCTGTTTCCACCTTCATCCAGTTTGCTTTTCCAGGATCTTTACTGCTTCCTTTGATGGGGGTGAGGACACTCCCTAACCACCTCATCTCCTGAACTGTTACCCCATCCATAGCCAGCATTTGATAGCCCAAGGGCAAGTTTATGTATTTGCGAACCATGTTTTTCTTCTGTAACTGAAAACCTGAAGATCCTTCAGTATTACATAGCCCAGTGTCCCTAGGGCACAATGGTTTTGAATTTCAGTCTACTTCTGCTGTGTGATCTTGGGAAAGTCATTAACCCTTTTGGGCCTCTATCTCTATTTGAAATGAAGAGGCTGAACCAAAATGCCCTTTCCAGGTGAAAGCAAGTGGTGGAGTTAGGCCTATTTAGGGAATAGAGAAGAGACTGTGGGACAGGTTTGTGCCTGTTTGTTGGTAGAGTCAAGTAGGAATTGTCAGAAGCTGATAGATAGAGGATAGACAGATATATAGATAGGTGATTGATAGGTAAATGACAGCTAGATGATAGATGATTGATAGATTAGATGATAGATGACAGATGATTGATAGATTAGATGCCAGATAGATAGATAGATAGACACATAGATATAGATAGATAGATAGATGATAGATAAAAGGGAACCAAATACTGTCTCTGTGCCCTGGGTGTTTTTGCCAGGCAGGGGAAATTGCCTCATTGGGGTCAGAGTTGTATGGCCCACAGAGGTCAGCTCAGAGGTTGGGAGGAGGTTGAAGACCTTGTGTGGGAACCAACCTAAGGGGAATGAATGATGTTGGGGCCCCTTAGGGGCCTCCAATCTTGGAGTTTGAACTCCCCTTTCTCTGTGGGTCTAAGCTGACTTCCTTCTGCTTTGGAATTGTGCTAACACTGACCCTTTAGTGATTTTGCCTTTGTTGTTTTTTGTTTTCCGCTGATCCTCATTAGCAGAGGTTTTGCTCTTGCACACTTCATTGTCCTAGTGACTTCTTATAGGCCAGTCACTGGTGGGTAAAGGCCAGAGGGACACTGAGGACTCATCAGGAGGGCTCAGCCTCTTCTCAGAGAGGAAGCCAAGGTGGCCAGATTACAATCTGTTTTTTCTGGTAAATGTCCTGGGTAGGAAATGTTATTTGTGAGTTTGAAATATCCACCAAGGGCAGAGGGTGCCCCGAAGACAAACAGGAATCAAGCGGTCATTTCCTTGGCCCTGAGTGTTGTTCTGCCTCTGTGATGTCACAGTTGGCCTCCCCTACAACCTAGTCCAGCCTAGCACAGTACATGACAGTGGTCACTGGGTTTCTCTCTGGGTAGGATAGCACCTGCACATCAGGGAAAACAGACGAAGCTCTCACAAGGGCAATATCATCCTTTGGAATTTGTTCACTTTTAGTTACATACTGGTCAGGAGCTTTTAAGTGAATATGACCATTTTCCCAGTGAGCAGTGGCATAAACATTGAGGACTCTCTTAAATCAAAAGATGCATGAATGGATGGAATCTTTGCTGGGATAATATGCAAACCAGGTAATATGTGCTTGACCTGGATCTCCCAACAGGTAAGAAATGGGAAAATGTTAAGGGGGAGGTGTTGGGGAAGAACAATAAACTTTGAAAAGCCATTCTCTTCAGCACAGAAGCACTGAAAGAAGTTGCAGATCTTCATGGTGAAAAGTGGGAAGCCCTATATTAGCAGGGAATGATGATTGACAAGGGATCTAATGTGTGCTGGGTAGAATCTGAGAATCCTGTGGCTAGAGAGGAAAGTGAGACATTAGAAGTCCTCCTGTATGTTTTGGAGACAGAGTCCCTTAGCTCACCCAGTCAGTAAGTCTCTTTCTCTCTCTCTCTCTCTCTCCTTTCCTTTTTTTGAGACAGAGGCATGCTCTGTCGACCAGGCTGGAGTGCAGTGGTGCGATCTTGGCTCACTGCAACTTCTGCCTCCCAGGTTCAAGCGATTTTCCTGCCTCAACCTAGCAAGTAGTTGGCACTACAGGCATGTGCCACCACACCAGGCTAATTTTTTGTATTTTTGGTAGAGACGGGGTTTCACTGTGTTAGCCAGGATGGTCTTGATCTTCTGACCTTGTGATCTGCCCACCTCGGCCTCCCAAAGTGCTGGGATTACAGCTGCGAGCCACTGCTCCGGCTCAGTGTTTCTTGAATGAGTGAATTGGACAGTGTGGACTCCTTTCTGGAGAAAGCTTGATGGAGGCAAGTGGAAAGGACCTTGGAAAATTACCCAAATTTAATGAAGCTTTTTCCTAAATACCGATGGCTAAAGAACTTCAACTTGTCAGTTTTGTATAAAACACTGCATTGGACTCAATCGTCCTCTGAATTTAATGCTAGCATTCCTTCAAGAGTCTTGACTTACTTTCTTTCTTTCTTTCTTTCTTTCTTTCTTTCTTTCTTTCTTTCTTTCTCTTTCTTTCTTTCTTTCTTTCTTTCTTTCTTTCTTTCTTTCTTTCTTTCTTTCTTTCTTTCT